CCCCAAAACCCCAAAACCCCAAAACCCCAAAACCCCTTGAAATTTAATATAAATTGAAACCGCATTAAGACTTATTCATAAGAAGGGATTGTTCCTCCTGTTATTTGCAAACTGACACCGTTCAAGTATCCATTTTCAATACAGGTTTTGACTAACTTCGCAAAATCATCAGGCTCACCAGATCTTCCTAGGGGGACAGTTTTCTCATATCTTTCTATAAATGATTTTAGATTTTTAATTTTGATTATTAGAGAATAAATCTTACTTATATAAGCCTCTGGCATAACAGCAGCCATTTCAGTTTTAAAAATAGTAGGGGCAATATTTAGAACTCTAATGCCAAATCTTCCAAGATCTCTTGCCATTGGAAGTGTCATTCCATTGATTGCTCCTTTAGATCATCCATACGAGACAAATCCTCTTCCTGCTAGAGTTGCTGCAATGCTAGAGACATTGATTATAACTCCTTTTTCTCCTCTCTCATTTACAGGATCATTCTTAGACATATACTTAGCTGAATAAGCTGATGAATAAATTGTGCCATTAACATTGATGTCCATACATTTCCTATGAAACTGAAAGTCAAGAAAGTGACTCTTTGTTGCAGTGTGAGAGACTCCCATAATACCAGCAGAGTTGAGTGTAATATGGAGAGCACCAAACTTCTCATAAGTTGTTTCGATAGCTACCCTAACTTGCTCACTATCGGTGACGTCAGTTTTAATAAAAACTACATTGTCATTTCCAAAATCTTTGACAATTTGCTCTCCTTTTTCCTCTTGAATGTCAGCAATACCAACCTTTGCTCCATGATCAAGAAGCATCTAAATTGGTTTAAAAAATGATTACTTTTAAAGTTTCATATCCAAAGCCTGAGCATCCTCCAGTGATGAATGCAACTTTCCCCTCTAACTTCATATCTAAATAATGATAAATTGTTCAATATAGTCTAAAATACTTGGGGTTTTGGGGTTTTGGGGTTTTGGGGTTTTGGGGTTTTGGGG